TCAGGCTTGACGGGCGGACGGATGACCCTGCAATATGTGGGGTGGGTTCAAGATCGAACCCACTGCAACGATCCGCTGATGAAAACTATAAATCCGTCACGAATGTCGAGCCCTGCCTCGGCTAGGAAACCTTGAAAATCACAAGAATAACAAGTATTAGCGAGAGTCAATAAGTCTGAATAAGTTTTGCTGCAGGAGCAGTAGCAACCCGGTATGGTGGAAGAAGCCAGGCAGTGGAGAAGGCAGACGGAGGAAAGGGAAAAAGCTTGGCTCAACAGTAGCCCCCGGTGCTGCACTGTCTTCAATCATGAAAACTGTGGTGGATCCGGACAACACTGTTGGCAAGGTAGTTCATTTTGCTATAAGGGGTAGTATCGAAAACAAGGGCTTGCGTGATCGCCTATGATGAGGTTCGAGCTTCAGAGACGTAAGCAACGATTGCTGTCTAAATGTGCCGACAACTTTGCGCCAGGTGTTATCTATTCCATGGAGAAGAGGAAGCGATGGGAAGAGGTGAGTCGTTAATGAGCCAGTTGAACTCAATCAGTGTTTTTGCAGTTGGTTCTTTGCAGGCTAACCCGGCGTCTCTACTTGATGGCCTGCAAAGCGATGAGGTTTCAGCCCAAGTCGTTGAATGGAAAACACCACTTCCGGGTATAACGTTTTCGAAGATAAGATTGTTGCGAAAGTTTCTTTCACTTTAAGTAATAATTTCCCGTTCAGCTAATTACTGGAAGTACAGAACGGTTAATGCGGTGCATGAACTCAACGACGATTGTGAGATGGTGTCAAAGGTCATTGGAGGACAGGGCACATCAGTACGAGCATATTTCTTCTCTGTATACAAATCAGTTCTTTTATTTGGCTTGCCATTGCTGCTGCGACATTTCTCGCTAGCCTCGTTCATTTTTTTTTCAGAAAATGCATATCCAAAGCTGTAGTCAGAATTAAGGTTGCACCTGGAATCTTTTGAGTATTATATTTGACCGTTCATATTTCGCTTTTATCATATGTTATATAACTTAATTTCCGGTAGATAAACAAGCGCCGATATCACGTAAAAACACCTCCGCTGGTGCAGTGCACTTGCGTACATCTAGAGACAACCGTAACTTGCATACAGGGGTAATTCGATATGCTGATTGCAAAAACAACATTCATTTTTAGCGGTGGTGTCATTTGGAAAACAGTCGCCACATAGCGCCAGCGCCGAGAGTGAATGTCATATTGTACCACAAATCAGCTTATACGGAAGTTACACCAAATTTCGAACAACCAACGTGTCGTGATCAAGGTGGTGCATCTTGCGCCTCTGAGCGCCGACCACTTAAAAGTGAAATTTATTTCTCGTAATAGGGGCATCGAATTACCTCTGTGGGCAAATTTACGGTAGTTCCCAAGGTGCGCAAATTCTCTAACTTTTGACTAGCTTCGGGTAGAATCGTGCTATCCACGTAATGCTCAGAATTTTTTATACACCTTAAACGCTCCATAAAGTAAACAATGGCACAGTTTTACTGCGGCAAGTGGCACGCTTACCACGCGGAGCGGTCCGGGGATCAAATCCTGGGTCGTGAGTCGCCCAAACCAACCAAGCCTTCCATCCCTGGGGTTAATTGGTACCAGACTTGTCTGGGAGGATAAAAAACACTGACTTGTACATCGGCTGGCCCCCGCAAGTCATTGTATAGGCCACATCGCATTCAAACGCCACTACGAATGTACAAATGGAAGTAGAATGCGTGCCGCATCCCAAAAAGGGATTGATCAACGGCAAATGCTTTATCCTTTATCTTTTATCGGCGCAGGCTTATGTAACGAACATCACTCCCGTTTTGGAATGCGCCACGCATTCTACTTCTATTTGGAATTCGTAGTGGCAAGATGGCGAATGCGATGTGGCCTATACAATGACTTGCGGGGGCCAGCCGATGTACAAAGTCAGTGTTTTTATCCTCCCAGACAAGTCTGGTACCAATTAACCGACCCCGGAGGGATGGAAGGCTTGGTTGGCCCGGGCGACTCACGACCCAGGATTTGATCCCCGGACCGCTCGCGTGGTAAGCCACGCCACTTGCCACTACAACATTGCCCCCCACATCAGATATGCAACGTAGCTAATCGTTGACAACTTTTAAAGTTTATTCCATATTATTTACCTCAATTTGTGTCTTTCGATCTTTTTTCGGTGTATTACAATATTTTTGGTCAGGATTTTTTGGGTGATGAAACCAGCATCATTTTTCAGCTTTCCTGTTTGATGGCTTCTCCCCATGGAAAGCATCGATCACGTCGTCGCACGAAACGTGGTACTGTCGAAGAAGACGATGAAAATGGTGATGCCACGAAAGTCGTGCCTAGGACTGCTCAAATTCGCTATAACATCATGCACGAGAAACCCCTATATTATGGTCGACCCATGCGAGGAAGTTGGTGATTTTAACTACTTGTTTTCAAAATCTGAAAATAAATAAATCCAGGGTGGGCATAAATATGACATGCGCCATGCATTCTACCTTCAGTGTACTGGTACTTGAGTGGTCGATGGGTACACTGGAAATTCGAGCTCAATGAGTGTCCTCAAAGGGATGGAAGCCTTGGTTAGCCTCGGCGAAATTGGACACGAGATCTGACCGGGAACGCCACTCGCTTTTACCTAACTTCCAACCGAGAAGTAATTATGATATGTAGATGAGCGCAAAGTTCGAAATGTAACCCTACGGAGCTATATAGTGGCTACGGAACAGCTAAAGATCATGAGATGTGAGCGACTTTTGAGATAGGTATGACTCATGCATGGGAGGGGTAGGGTAGGGCGTTGTTGAACTGTTATTACGGAAACTGCAGATTTTCAATTTATAGGATATCTCATAATCGTGCAAAATTTCCTTGGCGGCAGCTCTGCTCCAGCCACAAAAAATCACAACCTCCTATACATGCACCCCCTTTACCATCAAGACAAAGACTAGGCAAAGCAATGACGCAAAGAAAGGAGGTACTCCTACAAGGCTCTGTTTGATAAACGCAGCCTAAACCGTTTCCATGATTCATCTCATATTCGTTTTTCTTGTCTACAGGATCTGGTGCGGGGGGGGGGCAAAAATAGATGGAAGTTAAGGTGGGCCAGGTCAGGTGAATACCCAACGGTGGATAAGGGTGAATTCCCTAACCCAACCCTAGAATCTTGAGCAGTGTTTTTTCAAAGCATGCAGTCTAGCGCTGCACTGCAGCAGACATTCTTTCGTTGCGTAAGTTGTAGCGCACTTGCCCTATAAGCAAGAGGTATGGGTTCGAGTCTCGTCTGGGGCGAAAGTTTTGTCCACACGAGCTATTGTGAACTTCGCAGGGACTGCTCCCACAGCAGTTAGAATGAGGAAAATACGAACTCTTTGATGTTTGATTTGTTTATTTTCTCTATTGCTGTAGCTCCCTGCTAGTCTTCGTCGTTGATCCTTACAGAAATGGCCGTCAGCACGTAGTGCTGTGGCGAGGGACAAGTTTCTAGCGGATAACTGACAGTCAATTCGGCAGTCGCCAATCATGACCTTTCGCAAAGTTCTTAGCTTTTTGGTTCGCTTCTGAATAATAGCCTAGAGTACTTCGCAATGGTTGATTATTGAACGCTTTACCTTATTCTGTGGCGACGTGGGCTTAGCCATCATACACCAGGTTGGGAAGAAGTTTGTTTGCTGTGTGGCCGACTTCCCATTGCCGAATGAAGCGATTCGCTAGTGTCCGCGGTCGGGTCGCGGTCATCGAGTCGCTTGATTGGCAAAGTCTGACATTGGCCTATGCACTAATCTCACACTTTTGTGATGATGGCTCCACTTAGGAGAATGTTTTTTCAGACATTTTGATTCAACCAGTTGTTGGTGAGCGGGCGAATACCTCTTATGTTACCCAGCGTAACTTCAATCATGGGGCTTTGAGACACGGGTTAGATGACTTCCTTGGAAAGTCTTTTCCTAAGTAGCCGTGTAGCAGAATTTCATACCGGTGCTCGTTCATATTTGTGAAAATGGCAAGAGAGCTTACTTCTTTTGACATTGTGCGCGCTGCAATTTTACATAACGCGGATAGGTTGCGTCAGTGACTCACATAACGGTGTGCCTCTGTGATGGATTTCTTTCTCACATGCGCTTGTCTCTCCGTTTGTACCTCGCCCGTTTACGATGAATTTTATGTTATCGGATGTGTTTTTCTTCACCAAAAGTTATTTCACATCTTGTCTAATTTTTGAACAAAAGAACATATCAATTGATCGCGACCAGCGCCTCCAAGAGGGTAGCTATATGGATCCGACTTTGATAGCCTTCAGTCATCACTTGAATGCTCTTCACATCCCATGTGGACATATCGGAAAATTTTCGAAGGTTAAAGCGCAAGGACCAGAATGTGCCTAAATCCACACCTTAAATATTACCTATTAAAGGTGCGGAGCAAGGAAACCACCTTTCTCTCTCTTCATACTCTGCTTCTGTTCAGGGGCGGATTTCAAAGACCCTTGCTGGGCATGTCGTCGTGGAGGATTGGATTACTCCATGTCAGAGTCAACGATGCTGACACAAAAGTGTGAATGATGTGCGGAGGACGGTATTGACAGACGAGAGCCGAGGTGAGACGATGTTGTGAGCTACTTGCTAAAAGTGATATGAGTAAAATGTTTTTTAGAGGGGATGCTCGAGAAGTCTTGTAGAATAACTTGTCGTTGGTTTAACTGCGAGACTTATTAGCAAAGAGGAAGGAATTCACAGGAAGGAAAGTTTAACTATCCGCATTGGGAAGGTCATGTAGGTGAAGTTTTTGTGCAATTTTCATTCTCTTTCTTTTTCCTTTGTGAAGCTTTGAAGAATCATATATATTACGGTAGTATGGTAAAATGGTTATGGGTTCTCGATTCTGGCTAAACACATGTTAAAATTGGAACATTTGCTACATTTCATTTAGTGTAATGCGTCCAGTGAAGTTTTAACATTTTCATTTTTGAGTAAGCGTTTCAGGTGAAGAGGAGATTGCCTTTTCATTTTGTTAGTGCAGACGGATATCGGTGGTGGGATACGATAAGGGTCTAGGATAAGGAATTCTTCAGGACCATTGGTGACAGTGGCGGCCGAAGTGCGTATTGTGAGAAAGCTATTGGTTGGTCGGACCGTTCATGGGAGGTTTGATGTGAATCCTGTCCGTTGTGCGTTCGAACGTGTATCTGTACTACAAGATTTGTCACAAACATTCAGGTACGCACTGACCGTGGAAGATTCCTTCAGGATTATAGCGTTGCCGGGCAATCCCGTTTTGGTGATGCGGCGACGGCAATTTTTTGCTTTATTCGCATTCGTTGGTGGCATTGAATGCCTGATGCTGCCGTGTACAATGCCTTCGGGGCAGCCAATGTCATTCAAGAGTGTTTTACCCTCACAGTTCAGTGGGTCGATTTTATACGATCACGGGATGAGAAAACGTTTTGATTTCGGGGCGAAGCACGATTACAGGATTCCATTCCGAACCGAGTGAGAATGGTACGTGCGCTTGCCACTAACCCTCTGGTAATGGTGTATGTTCGTTTTGGATTAATGGTAAACAAGTGTGAAAGTTGATAATTATCATTTTTGAGTTTAAGGCTCCATATTAAGAGTAAGATTGCCTTACTTTTCTAGTGCAGCGGACGAAATCGCGAGGGGGAAGCCGGTAACAAGCCCTAATAAGGATTAAGGATAAAGCTTTCACTGTTGATCAATCCCGTCTTGGGATGCAGCAGGCATTCTACTTCCATTTGTACATTCCTAGTGGTCATGTGCCTATACATGACTTTGGGGCAAGCATATGGTCGCCGCGCGCCAAACAGCCATTTGAAATTTTGAAAAAGAAAAACATTTGCATTTCAAATCATATTTTCAATTCAAGGTTATTCATTCAAAATTGTTACATTTCCTAGTTGATATTATATCTCATCTGTGAATTTGCGACCATTTTGTCCCTACTTGACTGTCTTGAGTCTTGAGCTCCTTTATTTTTGACCGCTACCCCACCAAACCGCTTTCAGGACCTTCCAGAACGCAATAATGCCAAACCATTCGATCTTGTTAACATTAGCTCTGTTCCTACGGGAACCTTTGAGTTCATCAACGTCGATACGGCTCATTGGGCCAATTTCAATTTCATTGAACAGGTTCGCCTATCAATTGCTTTTGTGAGTGTCAAATGGAATGCTCTTCATAATTCCTATAAGGCGAGTTATAGGTGGAAGCACTGAGACGAAAAGGATATGATGTGCGTTGGCTGGACAGAAATTCTCGAAGGGTTCTGGTGGACGCGACAAATGTTGCTGATAAATCTATCAATTTTGAGGAAGAGCCGACCGTAGTGATAGTGATCGAAAGGATCTTCGGGCAAGAACAATTTACGTTTGAGGTGAGCCTGAAGTGACCACTAAGGTATAGAATCGTGATGACCAAGCCATTATCTCTTTGAAAGCGCCCAGATGGATGGATGTAGATGGAGTGAACGAACCTCACAAAAGTTTTCGACGCTCATGTCTTAAAGCAAAATTAGATCAGGATTAAAATCTGCCTCCTACTGCGTATACGCGAGCCTTAAATGAGGGTGCTTGACAGGAGGCCCGTCGTGCGGCGAAGAAGGCAGAGTCAGCGGACGAGTTGCAGCGCGTACTGTGCGATGTGGGACGTGCAGTAGGGCACTCTATTCAACTTGCTACAATGCGCGGTGCGACTCGTCCGCGACACTGCCTTCTTGCCACGTGACGGGCCTCCTGACGGGTACCCTTCTAGTGAAGAGGGATGGCGTGAGCGGTGGCACGTAAAGGGCATGTCAAAATGGCTGCAGGCTTTCTGCTTCGCCTTCTTCAGAAAATCAGATTTCTTTGTGGTTCTCGATTGCGTTCACTTTACGGGTTTCTAAAACAGGAAATCTGGACATATTATGTAGAAGGTTACTGTGAAGGTAACAATTCCTTGAAAACCATAAACTCGCAAAGTTTCTTTCGTAGAATTTTCACATTATAGTTAATCGCTCCGGCGTGCTAAAAGTCTAGAGTACTGAGTGGCTTTCTATCCTTTTTATCCACGACAGGTGAGGTCTGCAGAGTGTCCAGTAGGATTCAAATTTCATTTTTCCATTCGGGGGGGGGGGGAGGGTGGGATATGAAAGTCGCAAGGAGGAGAACGAGGTTACTGTAATTGGAAGTTTTTCTCTATCGGGGTTTGCGAACTTATTAGAGTATTCAACCGTTGCCCATAAGCTTTTCTGTTAGGTTAAGCGGCCGCTAAGTGTAGCATGTGGGGAACCTTTGTCGATGAGAGCTGCATGGTGTCTGGTTTCAATGGGAAGTAGACATCGTACCCTATCAAATGTAGGAAAAGTGGAGGTTCCTATTAATCATACTTTTCCGGATTATTCTACCTGTAATTACTGCATTTGCCTCAGATGGCTAGTTCACTGGAGGATCAAGCGTCTTTTTACATCAGGAGGACGCTCTCGGTCAGTGTGGATTATGCTAGGTTGGCATAAGGAGGCTCAACTTTCACTGGAAGACTTTGGAGTCAGATCCGAACGAAAAGTCCTATTGAGTCCGAAAAGACTATTTATGGAAAAGGAAATGATTCGGCTCACCGGCTGTGTTCATTTCGATACACAGCCATGTGTGCTACCGATCATTGATCCGCAGCCTTGGATTACAAACATACTGCCACCAGCCAGTTCTCCTCCCAGATGATTCAACAGTCCAAAAAAGGAAGGTGGAGTGGCAGTTTGAGAGAGATTATGTGAGCAGGAGAGAGCACCGACGAGCCAGGCCAGGCGAGAGATTATATGGAACGAGCGAGACGCAGGCATCACAAAGGCGGGCGGGCATTGCGCATGGCAACTTCTGTTGTGCAGGTCCTTAACCCCTAGCCAAGTTCGCTTTTCAAAACGCGTACCTAGTGCCCTAAGCAAGCGCTTTGAGAAGCAAAATTGGCACCAACGAAGTGTTAATGAGATGTGCTTTTAAGAACTCTAAATCTTGAATGCGATTTGGTATACTTGTTTCTGACAATGACTCTTCTTATTTTGCAGAGTTCATCTCAATACTACTGTACCGGCAGACAAGGATTTCGATTGGAAAGTGTTCAGAAAGCATTTGACCAAATGTAAAGTGTTAAATATCGAGGATTTGGTATGGAGTGTTCTTCAACTTGTACAGAGATGGAAGACTCGGTATGTCATCACACGGCTTTGAAGGCACATCGTGGAATAATTACGCCCCAAATTTTCAGTACTGGTAAGCGAATGGAGCTGCAGCTGGAGTTGCAGCGACCATCCCAGTGGAGTGAACATCTTCGCAAGTATAACGTCAGGGAATTCATGAGCTGGGTGGGTTTCCATCTGCCATCTTTTTCACACATGACTTGTTTGTTTGAAGCATGTAGTCATTCATCTATCATTACTTAATTTATACTTTTACCCTACCCTGGAAGTACACTGTCAAGCAGAACTAAAACCTTAATAGTTCAACCTAAAATAAAGGGAAAATAAGCTCAGCCAAGAAATCAGTTACGCCTAAAGGAATCCTTCGCGGAAAAATCATGCTTTTATTTGGGCCAAAAATCTCTGATTTGAGACATTATCCACGATTCTATTTCAGCCATAAATCACTGGCTTGAGACTCATTATCCACGATAAGAATGAAAAGAACAGAAATATTGCTTTCGTTTAAAAATTCGAAAAATCGAAAGGGCTGCTACGCGTTCAAAGTGCCCACGGACGTCTTTCACAAATGCTGGCGACGGGGATGCTTCCACTTGGTTC